TCGTATAACTTTTTGACCCTAGTATTTTCTAGAAGAATTAGCTCTAGAATAATTTCCTGCATATTGAGAAATCAATTATATACTAGAATAAGTTCAATGGCCCTTTTGATTTACTTTCTATCATTCAACATTTTGGTATTTTACCCGTAAATTTTGGTACCCCATACAAAATTTTGGTACCTTCCCTTTAGTCGTGATACCAAAATTTAACCCTTTGGTTATGACAAAGAATCAGTTTTAGAATTAATTCTAGGATATCTCATAAATTAGTATGCATCTTAGGCTTGACAAGGTCATAGCCTCATATATTTCGTCACTTTGTTTCTCAATATTCAAGTCTACTCCCAAAGGTAAGCAGTATAGCATAAATATTAATATACATAGAAGGTTTACAAAGACTCCACGAGCTTGGCTTTGAACCTTTGGTTCTTACCAGTCTCGCCTCATCTTAAAGGCAAATAGAATGGTATATTTTTTTGATATCATTGGTGGGTTTAAAATCGTGCTAGAAAGATATCAATTTGGTTGATTTTAGATTTTGAAGCTCAAATTTTATAGCAAGGAGATTGATAACGAAATTGGGCGTCAGTACCAATTTTAGACCAGAATTCTATATTATGGATTCGTATTACTAGAAGAGCTTCAGGCATATGATTGGGAGCTTACTGGATATCCTTTTTCGATTTTGACCCCAGAACCCCCAAAAATGCCCTACTGTTTTAGTAAACTCTTAATGTACTGCTTCTGGTATGACTATGTTAAGGATAAATATGGGAATAAGGCTAAGCTCAGGTATATGGATACAGACTTTTTCATATTCCAAGTTGAGACAGAAGACATTTATAAAGATATGGCTGAGTGACCAGATCTCTTTGATCTTAATGACTCTAAAACTATAGGCCTTTTCAAGGATGAGACGTCTGGTAATGTAATCACTAAGTCTATACATATCCAGACCAAGTCTTACCACTATGTCTTAATAGATAAGACCACGAATTCTAGACAAGGGGGTTAGTAAAAAAGGTATAGGCAAGATAGCAACTGATTCATACTTCCCATCCTTAGGGAGAACTTTGCTATTAGATCCAGTAGACCAATCTGAAGTTTTCAATCCTATGACCCAAGTATATCAGGACTGTCTCTTTGGTAAGGAAGTAGTTTATGCAAAGAATGTAGGTATTCGATCAAAAGATCATGTATTATCTCTGGTCGAATCTGAGAAGAAGACTCTCTGCTCCATAGATACTAAGCGCTGGATCTTATCTGATGGAATTACCATTTTACCATATAATAATTGGCGAATTATAGTATATAAGAATATGGTCAAAGATAATATACCCCATGAAGAGGCCGAAAAAAGAGCTATAAGGGCTAAGCTCTTAGAGAAATACCAAAACGAATGTGTGTCTCACATATCTAGCTTTCAGCCGTAAGTTAGATAGTGATGTGTAGCCAGATCACATACATTATTATATTAGATTTTTTTCTAGCATAATAAATATTCAGATATAAAACATAACATTTAAAATGGCATATATAGAATGTAAAATATGGCCTTTTTTCAATGACCTATTACATCATGAAGAGCGATGGGAAGCAATGAAAACAGGACATAGGCACTATACAGTCAAAGCATTAATTGATACATCATCTAGCGCAAATAAAATTAGCAGAAGCATAGCCAATAGGCTTGGAAGAAAATATGGTAATCATTATAAGAATAAAAAGGTGAAAAACTCATTGGGCACTATAGATTGTCTAGATTTATCCTTCTGATATAAGGGAAAGATAGACTGCTCGCTGGTAGTGACGAAACTTTTAATGATTTTGAGGTTATCAAAAAGCCATGCAAAGCGCCTCACGGCTGTGTCGATCTTGTATTAGGCTTACCATGGCTACGACTTCGTGAAGCAAAAATTGATATATGGAAAGAAGGGATAAAGATCTATGGCAATTTTATACCATTTTGCAAGGGTCCGGATTATGTCGAGTCTTTTTATGATTCTGAGGCAGAATCATCCGAATCAGCCGAGCTTAGAAAGAAGGTTAAAAAGCTAGAACGAACTGTAGATTTGATAGGAAACTATGTAGAAGAGCAAACTGGTTTAGAGCCAGGCAAAGAGATTTCATCCGAGTCCAGTTCATCCGAGTCAGATTATAAGCCATGGAAAGCTACCAGCTTTGAAAAACCTGGGAATAAGAAGGTGAAATCCAACAATAAGAAGGCGAAACCTAGAAGGAACCCAACCCGAGCTTGTAGAAAAATTAAATCCGTCGGTCTATCTAGTAATGGGTAGAAAATCGAGGAATAATCGTCGTAAGACAATGGGAAAGTTCACTACTAGCCCTACACAGTATTTGCCATTATGTAATCTAGCCAAATATGAACATACATAATTAGACTAATTTTCGCAGATAAGGAATGGAAAACGATAAAAAAGAGAAGCAATCCCAAAGGGATCAGTCAGAGACGAGCCGGCTTGACCATGATTCCTCATCCCTTATTTTTCCTGCCCTTTTCTTCACATTGTTCAGAAAAAGATAAATAGGATACTTTGTTTTCTGGCTTCGAATTTATGAGAAGGCGGGCGATATAAAAAAACTGTTACTGATTAATATTTCTGATTCCAATTTCACGGCTGATTAATCAGCCTTCCAAGCAATTCGATAAATGCTAGTCCGCAAACATTAGTATAGACGTCATGTATCATGGGCATAGTCCCGAACTTTGTATTTATTTTTTACATATATTAATAAACGATTCTTCGGGATACACCTTTTATGGCAATAATATTTTTGTATGATTAGGAGTATGATAATCACTCCTGAGTTGATCCTTCTGGGATCGTTTCAGCATAAATTAGTCGGAAGCGTTTCGCATGATGATCGCTCAAGCAATCGGATTGTTGGATAGTCATCTATATTAGGAATTGATCGAAAGGTTCTGGGAAACAAGTCGAGTTAAAGTAGGGTTTGAGAATAGTTCAAGAACTTCTAGCGATTGTTACAGGATATTCACATATGCAGTTGAAAAAATACTATTAAAAACATAGTAAATTTTGATCGCCTATGAAAGAATGGATAATGTAGGGATGAACTCGGGTTGATGAGCAGTTAAGTGCTTATAAAAACACCTCATATTCCGCTTATTTGCTAGAAGACTAATCACCGCCCGGGATTTCTGAAAAAAATGGTTGACTGGACCGATGCACAAACCCGTATCCTTATTGACGAGCGTAGAAATAGGAACGAAGAATATCACAATTTGGGAAGGAATCGAGATGTATTTTGGGGAAGTGTTGCTACTAGAATTAATAATGAAGTGCATGGTTCCAATTTCCTGGAACATCATTGTAAAGAAAAATTCAGGAATCTTGTTCGGGACTATAATGTAAGTGTAAATGATAATGGACATTATATAAGCGCAAGCGGATCCTAAATATCCTTCTACACTCTCTGATGACTAGGCGATGTGTGAATATATGAATGGAAGTCGAACAGCTCGAAGGAGTCGGGCAGGAGCTAGATATTTTGACGAGTTCCGCTCTCATTTTTGGGAAAGACCTGAAGATCCATTCGATAGAATCCGTAATATGAATATTTCTAACCGCAGACGTAGTAGGAGAGGTTCTTCACCAGCACCTTCTATTGAGGAGGTTGAACGGTACTAGGCCAAAGATCGTCTAGCCAAAGCAATCAAAGAAGTCGAACACGTTCGGAATCTCCAGCTTGTAATCCATCTCAGGCTCCATCTTTACCTCGTAACGAAGATGGTTTTAGTTTCATTATCCCTCCTGAATAGTCCCACTTCTTATTATCTGCCTCGAAGTCTGCTATAATAACACATGGAGCATTGATTATTCTTCTATAATTCTTAAACTCCTCGAAATCATTAATATCCTTCAAAGGCAATGTAACTAATTGAGGAGCTTCGCCTAATCCTAGACATGAACTTAGATGATATTCTAAAGCATTTTTTGAAGGCCAGCTTCGAAAGCATCCGTTATATAGATGCTTTTTTTCTTTATAAGCGATATCCCCATATACTAAACCATCCAGATTTTTGATCCAGAGAAAGTGATTCTTTTGCCCATACTTTTCGTCCTCAGATTTGGTAATATCTGTAAGAGCTATAAGGTGAATAATATGCTGTCTGTTAAAGTTCTTACTGGCAATTACAGGTTTGGGCCATGCTGTTTTCTCATTTCATTCCTAAACATTAATAGAAATATCTGGGTTCATCTCCTCTATCTTATTAAATATTCGTAGGCAAACAGGTGTGGGCATTGGGATACTATCTAGCTTGGTCTTCTCCAAATATTTTTGAAAACTTTTTACCAGATATATGCGTCTGCCAAGATGATTTGTTTTTCCGTCCTGATATGCAAAATAACATCCTAATGCTCCTCAAAGACAATTATCTATTGGTTTGCCTGTAGCTGGATCGATAATATTTGAATTATCTGGATTGATAGTACATTTTTTATTGGCGAGCTTTTTGGAAGTGGGGATGTATGATCCTCCAAGAGTACGACGAAAAGTATAAGATTCAATCAATATCATCTCAATTCAGAAAAGGATTTTGCCAGATTCTTCTTTTAGATATGTTTTGATCTTTTTATCAATTTCTACTCCAGAACGAGTTATATGCTCATCTATATATCCCTCAGAAAAGATTTTACGCTGTAAGCCTCTATGGTATGGATAGTGATAACTGATTTCATAGTTTGCTGAGTCGCTAATATCACCTATTCCTTTATATTTATATTTTATATATGTAGCATATACGACCAGTGCTGATTTTATTTGATCTTTTCTATGAAGCTCTTCTTGGAGAATGCTTGTAATTGCCTCACGTAATAAAGCCATAAGCTGTGGCATGTATGGAGCATCTGCATATTCTTTTGAATTAACCTGCTTTTTATTGAAAGCATATGCAGGATTTTTACATGAAGGAACGATTCCCTTCCATACTGTCATATTTTTTAGTAAGCGATATTGTCTATCAGGATCACTTTGCCTTTCTAAGAATACTATATCCCCTTCTAGAGGCTTAACCTCTATTTCATTATCAACCTCTTTATAAATCGATCTGAAATATTTTTCAGAAGCATATTCCTTTTCTAGTTCGTATTCTTGTCTTCTAGCAGGTGGAAGGTTCTCTATATACTCCTGCTTATTCTTTTCTTCTTTCTGCTCGATCTCAGCTAATATTGGAAGCCTAGCTTTATCAGGATTAGCTGTGAGGCACTTTGCTTGATGTTCACGATCCCATTTTTCAGCCTCTTCATTAGTAATAAATTTTCTACCACTTGAGTCTACAAATACTGTTTTAAACTGCTCTATATTTATATGAGATGGGAGTTCCTATGGAATGATAGCTTGGTTGAGTATGGGATTAGAAAATGGTGTTCTTGAATTTCTTTGTTTATCTCTATATGTTTGGGTAGCTGGATCAGGACCTGCTTCTAGATCATGAATATTCTCATTGACCATATTTACTGGAGGGTTAACAGGCTTTGGATCAGTTCTTTGGTTTATGACCTACGGGACAGTAGCTTGCTCGGGTGTGAATTGATTAATTTTAGGTATAATTTTTTGATGACATTGGAATTGTCTTTTTCGATGACGTCTAAGTTTCCATAACTTGGGAAAGTTTTTACTGCATCTATCACAAGTATGAACAACCATTATAATATCACAACTATTATAGTATTGCAACTGCTATATAACACTTATAAAATTTCTTTCTTTAATTAATTAATTGTATATA